GACTAAATAGATTAGTTTTTTTTATCAAAAAACTTTATTTATGTGAGTACTATTTATTGTTGGCAAGAAAAAATTTTGTGGCTCTTTAAAAACTTTGAAATTTTGTAAATTGTAATTTTGGCTCTTCCGATTCAAAAGGTTGCCGACCCCTGCACTAGACTTACACTAATTCGGCTTCTCAAATATCTGACATACCCTCCAGTGTGATTGCCTGTTTGTTTCTGTTTCTTTGTCTGTTTCTGTTGCTAGCCATCTCACATATTTCATTTTCTTGTTCACTAGGATTTTGTTTGTATACACAGTATTTTATTTAGACATGCCTGGTAAATCTTTCTCACATACCTGTTGTTTATAGGTAATTTATTGGTAATATTATTTGTGTATTGAAAAAGAAACTATTTATGATATTTCTTATACTGAATAATGATGTGATGTGCCATGAAGTGATGTGTGTGTCCAGCCTGCCAGTTTTTTGTTTGGTGTTTTTTGGAACAGAACAACACTTGTGTGTAACTTGTATTAAGGTTATTCTTGTGGCAGTTTGCTAAATTATAATTTATATATGTAGTATATCTAATTATGCCATATTATTTGCTTGCTTCCTCCAAAAAGAATTGGTATCAAAGGCTGATGGGTCGTGTCATTTATTGTCTTTAGCCCTGTACACTGTCAGGAATCTTGCTCCTCTCTGTTCTTGGAATGACCTGATTAGCAAAAATCAGTTATATTTATGTTATTGGACACAAATCAGATGTTTATTAAAAATCTTATTATTTGTTTGATGATAGGAAAGCAATATTTTCAACATTTTACTGTGTTTTAGTATAAATGATAACTGGGAGTCTATTTTTCATGGACTCTCAGTTATTGTTTTCCATGTGGAATGTCTGATTTTTAGGAACAGATTACTGACACATAGCAGTTGATGTCTATTCTTGTGAGAAACAATACCCTAATTTTTCATATAATTCATTAATTTATGTAAATTAAAGAAATAAATTTATAAATAGGAAGCATAATTCAACTTGTCTAAGCTACAATAGTAAACCAAATAGCCAAGAGAATTAAGGTTCAGTCTACTGTTCCGGGGAAGCAGAACTAAATCCGAGCAGTGAAAACTCAAGAAATTCGGTATCAGTCAGTTCCCCATCTTTCATCACTTCACTATTCTGTTGCAGGCTGGGAAGATTTTTTCAGATCAAAGTTTATTTTTAGTTATTCATATTTAACTGTTCTGTGGGAATAAATCATGCAGTACATCTTATAAATGATTTTAATTATTCAGAATAAAAATTTTTAAATTATTTTCCAATCTTATGTAAAGTCTTAATATTTCAGTCAATTTTGAAATGCCTGTAAGATTAAAAAGTGTATAAATTAATAAGATAGTGTTCTCTATAAACAGATATTAATCTGTTTTTCTCAGAAATTTAAAAATAAATTTGACATAAATTTCAAAGTTTAATATAAAAATTAATTTATAAATATTACAGCTTGAAATTATCTGTTTATGTACTTTACTGATAAATTTTAAAATCTTCAAAAAATTCTAATCAGAATTACAAATTATAAAAAAAAAAAAATTTTGATTTATTGGACTGAATTTAGACGTTTAAAACTAAATTGTTTTTGAATGTTGTTAGCTCATCTTTAACTGTTTAAATTCACTTCAGTAAAGAGTATTTTCTTTTAATTCTTTTACTAAATTTAATGTTTAAAAAGACCTGAAATGGTTGCATTTAAATAGACCAGTAAGTCATATGTCCCACGTTTCCACTTTGCAGTAGACGGCATTACTGCTCACTGACAGACGTTCCAGTTTTTGGAAGACTTTTTTGCCAACCACATAATCTCTCGTGGAATCTGGTCCACAAGATTTCCAAACCTTATTCCCCCAAATGCTATATATAGAAGAAACTACAATATCATTCATAAAACTTCACTTTTATTAAAATTTCACAATAAATAAATGTTTACTAGAACTAATTAAATAATTAAATTTCTTATGACTGCTGTTATATATATATTGTAAAGTCTTTGTAAATCCGCACTTAAAATGTAAATTTTAATATTGGCGGTAGACTATCACACAGCTTTAGCCAATGATTTCACTTTATTCTATTACTATAGATGCATTTCGGTCCTTTTCTAAAAAAGGTCCCTCTTCAGTACTATAAAATACAAAAGTTTACATAAACTTTTTCAGCAAGTAAATATTTAACATAACAATAAATATTTTAGTATTACAATACCATTTGAGTACACAGTTTTATTTATACATCCCTTTAGCACTTTTATCTTGAGCGCACTAAATTATTTTTATTTATGTCTTGCTGTAATAAATTTTACTCTATATTAGATCTAACAATTATACTCAATAAAACTTTTAAAAATCTACAAAAATTTTAAAAAATTATCTAAATAAGTTCTAAAAAATACAAATGTAGAACATGATTAACGTTATAAAAATCAATTCTAAAAAACTTACTGTATGTATTTTTCTATGATAGTCCATGAACTGTCTTTTTTATTAATTGTACACAATAAAAACACTCCACTGGTAACTATTTAACTGCTCTTTGCACACTATAAACCACTTTGATAATAACTGTTCACAAGTACATTGTTGGAGTCTCCAACAATGTACTTGTGAATATTATAAAACCAACAATGTAAATATTATAAAACCAATTAATAATGCCATCTATGTGGTTGCAACTGTTAATCCATGTTATCATAAAAGGACTTCCAGGCTGCTGATAAACCATCAGCATCCCTGTGATTGATGCAGTGTGCAGTCATTTGCGCTTTGTGTATCTCTAGTTTTTCCAGGTGTCTCACTGCTTGCATGGATCTTGTAGGTTTAATAATTGCCGCTTGATTCCAGTATACTGTGATGTCCTGCTGCTTTGCAAATGCTGTGAGGACCATACTATCAATGCTTCTATTCACTGAGTATTTGTGCTCATCCATCCTTTTCTTCAAGTTTTACATCATTGCCCCTATATATATTAGGTTGGAGTTAAATCTATGGTATTTTATAGGAATAGAATATATCCCTATCATGCTATTACGCTTATATTTTCTCTTATCGTTTCTTAAAAGCCTGTACACAGTAGGATTAAGCCTATAAATAATAAAAGCTTATAAAACATACTCTGCTTTATAAGCTTAATCAACAATAATCCTTATGGATTAACAGTGGAGCTAGACCAAGAAAGTGAGAATAGTGTTAGATTTAACAATAACATCCAGAGAGAGTGAGATCAGAACGAATATATACCGTAATCCGGTTTATCAGCCAGTTATCATCCCTAAGAATTCATCAGATCCAGAACACATCAAATTGGCAGCTTTTCAATTATGGATAAAAAGAGCTTACACACATTGCACCAGCATGTGTGTAAGCTCTTTTTACATATAAAGAATTGGATTATATATGGAGCACAGTGGTGCAACAAGGATACAGAAAATAAATTTAAAAACTCACGCCAATGTTCGTATAACTTATGGATACAAATTCACTGAGTTCAGCGTTAATAAAGTTTCTTTAGTATTAACACAAGCACTTTCGACGAATGTATAATCGTCGTCTTCAGGTGAAAAGAATAAAATTTTAACGAGACAAACGTGCAGAATATTCCAAAGGAACAAAATATTTAAAATCAAACAGGCGTCCGGAAATTCCGTTAAGAACGTGCAAAAAGGATACAGAAGAAGGGTAATCGATACACTTATAACAAAGATGCAGAAATGAAACAGATAGCAGCGAGGGGCTGAACAAAGGGAATTACTATCCATTTCTAAATAAAATCATTAAACAAGTTGCCAGAAATAGGAATATAAAAATAATTTATAGGCGTAATCCTACTGTGTGCAAGCTTTGAAGGAACGATAAGAGAAAATACGAGCGTAATAGCATAACAGGGATATACTCTATTCCTATAAAATACCATAGATTTAACTCCAACCTAATATATATAGGGGCAACGATGTAAAACTTGAAGAAAAGGATGGATGAGCACAAATACTCAGTGAATAGAAGCATTGATAGTATGGTCCTCACAGCATTTGCAAAGAAGCAGGACATCACAGTATACTGGAATCAAGCGGCAATTATTAAACCTACAAGATCCACACAAACAGTGAGACACCTGGAAAAAACTAGAGATACACAAAGCACAAATGACTGCACAGTGCATCAATCACAGGGATGCTGACGGTTTATCAGCAGCCTGGAAGTCCTTTTATGATAACATGGATTAACAGTTGCAACCACATAGATGGCATTATTAATTGGTTTTATAATATTTACTTGATGTATACTTTTCGTTTATTTTTAATTATTTGGTTTATACTTTTCATTTTTGAGAACAGACATGCTCTTTACCATTAACTTGTGCATCTGCGCTTTGAATTTTTGTATTATTCGAATACTTTGTTCGTTATATAGATGGAATCTGAACTGAAGAAGATTGCTTAAATCAGTCAAAAACGTTTTTAATGTATTAAACGTTGTGCTGGACTAGCAAAAGGTGTTTGTTTATTTTTAAAATTTCACATAAACTTTTTCCACTGCACAGTAATTTTTTAGACACCTTATACATGTATACATATAAATTAAATATTTCATTATTGAAAGGAATAGGAATGTTTTGTTACGAACGAAAAACAATGTATGGATATAGACATGTAAATAATCTATCCACTGTACATATATTTATATAATAGCAGCAATAAAAGGATTCTGTTCAGTGAATCATTATTAATTTTTACAAGATTTTAATATTGAGAATTGAGAAATATGAGGATTTTTCTTTAATTTTATTATAGGAAACTTGCTTTTTTAAATATACAGAATATATAACAATTTTATTTATTATATATTTTTTAAAATATATAGTTTATCATGTATTCTTAGTGTTGTTTACAATAAATGATTTATCTAAACATTTATAAAAAATTTCAAGTAATAAATTACTGTTTTATTTCTTTTATAGATTTTCTTTTTAAGTTTTTGGTAATAGGAAGTGCAGGAACAGGAAAATCTTGTCTGCTGCACCAGTTTATTGAAAATAAATGTAAGTCTTTTTTGTCATAAAAAATTCTTTTCCCAAATATTTCCAAAGAAAATACAGTAATTTTAGTAACAATTCGGTTCGGTTTCTTGATTTATCTTGCATTTGTCTGATGAAATTTTGGTAATAAACAATGTTTCCAAGTGCAAAATCAGATAAAATGTAACATTTTACTTTGATCAGTTGTAAAAAACATGTGTATAATAAACAAGAATATTTTTTAAATATCTAAAAAGTTTTAAATTTATTTAATATATATTCATAAAAATAACAGTTTTTTTATGAATATATGGTTAGATCTATATTTTAAATAAATTTATTATATATTGAGATGGACTATAAAAGTTTCACCATATATTTTGATCAAAATTTTCTTTAAAGATATCACAAAAAAAGCATAGTCAGAGAGCATAATGGAATAATAGAATATGAATGCAAGTTGCCCTTTGGCAGCAAGGAAATATATAATGTGATAATTTATATCATTCCTGGCAGAGAACGTGTGGGTAAATGTTCCTACATAGGGTAGATGTAGGATCCTACATCATCCCTCCATAGTTTATAGATAGTGTTAATTTGTCAGTAATATAATTTTGATATTTTGTACAATTTTCATTGTATGCAATTTGTAGTTGATAAGGTGTCACTGTTTCAGTTCGTAATGCATTTTATATTAAACTAGAAATTTTCCTGTCAACCATGACAGAATGTTTTTATGAGAAAGCAGGATTGAAGAATTGAGAAGAGCTTCAAGTTGAGCTTGATATTGTGATGCTATTTCTGCAGCCCTTGACAAAGCCATTTTTACTTGATGTTGCTAATGTCAGACTTCGTGGCCATCGGGGATTTCAATGTTCTTATTCTTTTAGGTCTAGAATTTACCTGGCCAATTTTACTGTTATGCTTTCCCCTAGACATTTTATTTTGACAGAACAGTGAGATTTTTTAATTCCACATTGATAAAACAAAGATGAATGACGTTAGATGAACAATAACACTTTCTAAATAACAGGATCATTAGATCATTACTTTCAATTGGATAATAGAATGTCACGTGGTCACTAATGAAAGAATTTTTTAAAAATTTGTTATAGAAGTGACATGATGTGGCTATCATTTTTAAAGTTTAAATTTTAAATTTAATGAAGTAAGTTTAAAATGCCATTTGCCAAAACATTTAAAAATACATTCTAATGGAACAGACTATGTAACAGACTGAAGAGGGGTGAAAGCCCGAAATGCATACTGTATGGATTAAAAGCTGATGATCAAATTATTTGCCAGGTGTCAATAAATTCACCAAGTTGTGACATTGAACCAAACAAAACAAGGAAATTTCCTTGTTGAGCATGAACGTCACCTGGTCACTGACATCACTGCAATGTAAATGTGATCACCAATCCAAAATCGATAAAACATTTATTCTATTGCTAATATTTTCACAAAATAAGTAGCCTATATTTTCCATTGAAACATAAAACGTATATAACAAAAATTTCATCTGAATTGGAAAAAAATTGCAGGAGTTATAAGGAATTCACACACAGACGACAGTTTTTATATTATTAATTGAGTGCAGAGATATTTGGATGAATTCCAAAGATTGGTGTATTGAATTCTCTCCAAACCCCTCCAAACATTTAAAATTTATTAACTAACTGTGTTTTTCTTTAATTAATGTAGAGTATTATTCTAAATTTTATTTAAACTATGTTAATTTAAATTTAAAATAAATGAAATTTGAAAATTTTATCAAAAAGTAATTTTCTTCTGAAGACATTACAATTGTCATTTATGACAGAAATTCTTGAGCAATTAAAACTTGTTTAATTATTCTTTGGTTTAAATTTATCTATATAAATATTGAAATTATAACTATCAATACTTTATAAAAAGATTAATGAATATAATTGTAAGATTGTTTTTTAAAAACATATTTAGTCAAAGCAGATTCGAGTCATACAATTGGTGTTGAATTTGGATCAAAGGTTGTAAATGTTGGAGGCCGTTCCGTGAAACTTCAAATTTGGGACACTGCAGGACAAGAACGTTTTAGGTAAGTTATATGCACACATACATGATATACATATAAATTATCGTTAAAGTGATCAATAAAAATTACTCCATTACAATCAAAACATTTTTTGTTCCAATTAAGTTCACTTATTTAATAATTTCATCATTAATTAAAAGAAATTAAAAATCAAATAAAAATGAAGAATTATACAAGATGTTGTCAAAAGGTCTTATTCAAATTGTTCTATGAGTCATGAGAATGAAAAAATTCCATATAAATATAAGTCCAAACTGCTTCTCTTCAAAATTATAGCAATTTTAAATTTAGCTGTAATTAAAAATTTTTACGTACAAATTAATAACAAGCTATGGTTTTGATCTATGTTTTCAAGTAATATTTTAAGTGATCTTTAATACAACAAATGGTTACTGTTACTCACATTTGTTTTATGTATGGCCAAACTAATGGTAATACATGTGAAGATGTTATATGGAATTTTTTCATTTTTATGACCCATAGAACATACTGTTAAAGCTTGGTGAGACTTTTCAGAAACACCTTGTATAATTAATATTTTTGTTTAATATTTGTTTATACTGTAATTATTTGAATAATTTCATATAACTGATATGAAATACATTTGAAAGCAATGATTTTAATTAAAAAAAGTTATTTTATAAGACATAAATAATGATATTATGTACTTTAGTTTATGCATTTTCCATTATCTATTTAGAGAATTTTATTATATATTTCTATTTAGTTTATCATATTTTAAATTTATAAAAAATTTTAATATATTTGAAACAATAAGTAAAATTTTTAAATTATATTTTAATGAAAGACTTTTGATACTTTTTGTTACTATTAGTTTATAATTTAATTTAACAACTGAAGAATAAAGATATTTTAAATGTGAAGAATAATTTCTGCAATTCGTAGTTTACTAAATTAAATTTTTATAAAATTTTGTTATTTGCTGGTGTATTTGATATTCTGTTTCTTTAAATAGATCAGTTACAAGAAGTTATTATCGTGGAGCTGCTGGAGCATTATTGGTGTATGATATTACAAGGTAATTAAATATTAATGATTTTGTTATAATTGTTTAACTCTTCACGCTATGAGCACTAACAAGGAAACTGACAAAATGTCTTTTAATAAATATTAATAAAATTTAGTTAATAATTTACATTAAAAGTATAGAAAATCTACATTAAATTTGTAATATTCACTAAAAGTGTTAATCAGAGTTAATAGCAATCAAATGTCATACTATTTTATATTAGTTTAACACAAATATGCAAATTTTTAGAAGTGAAAGGGTTGTGGAGGAAAACGATGATATTACATTTACAGATGAAATAAGGAATAAACTCAAATAAATTTTATATGAAAGATTAGATTGTGGTGGTTGGCAACATGGCATTTGACCACCATCCCTACCTACATGACATCAGATGGTGGCTAACTCCACTTTTTAGGTGGACATGCTTCTGTCTGCTCACTCACCTCACCACGCGCTCCGACCACTGTTTCCGTGATCGATGTAATTGTAACTCTTGTACATAGTTCCATAAAATAAACTCATGACAATGACCATTGGACTCTATCATCTGTCCTGGAATCATTCTTTCGACACGACAACAACATTATATTTAGTTTAATCAGATTGATCGACATAACCAATTTCCTTCTCAAGAGGTACACTTTAGTGGCCTCCTCACTGGTGAGCCAGACATGACCTCCATGACATGGTAATCTGGAATAGGTGATCCCAGTGACGCCAACCATTTCAAAACTCGAATCCAAGACTTCATCAACAGGAATCCAGACAGGCCTCCTTTTTTCTCGCCACACTGGTCAAGCAGCCAAACTAACAGTTAGTTCTGCTGCTTAACCAGCATGGAGAGACCGAACTTTGAAATGGTTAGCATTGCTGGGATCACCTAGTCCAGGTTACTATGTTGTGGAGGTCACATCCGGCTCACCAGTGAGGAGGCCACTAAAGTGTACCTCTTGAGAAGGAAATTAGTTATGTTGATCAATCCTATTACATCTACGAATAGTGTTATTGTCACGTCAAATGAATGATTCCAGGACAGATGATAGAGTCAAATGGTCATTGTCATGAGTTTATTTTATGGAACTATATACAAGAGTTACAATTACATTGACTATGGAAACAGTGGTCAGAGTGCATGATGAGGTAAGTGGTTTGAGTGAGATTTAGGTGGACAGAAGCATGTCCACCTAAAAAATGGAGTTAGCCACCATCTGACATCACATAGGTTGGGGATAGTGGTCAAGCACCATGTTGCCAACCACCATAATTTAATCTTTCATAAAAAGTTTGAGTTTATTCCTTATTCTACTCTATAAATGTAATATTGTCGTCTTCCTCTGAGATCTTTTCACTAATAAAAATTTACATATTTGTGTTAAATTAATATAAAATAGTATGACATTTGATTGCTATTAACTCTGATTAACACTTTTAATGAATATTACAAATTTAATATAGAGTTTGTATACTTTTAACATTATTATTAACTAAATTTTATTAATATTTATTAAAAGACACTCTGACAGTTCCCTTGTAAAAATGCCTTTGTTTTTTCGACATGCTTTTTGGGTTTGGTCAGGCTCCCAATGAATACAGCAAGGAAGTGAATGATGGAGACTAATATATTTAGGACAGATTATTATGAAAAATTTTCCAGCTTTTACACAAATTAAAATATGTGTCCCCAGAGCAACAGGCTGGTACACTGGTACTGTGGATATCTGGCTGACAAAATGTGTTTACTCATACCTAGAATGGAAAATGACCAAATACTATTTACAGAGGCCATTGCATCAGTTTTTCTTGGTAATAACCGTCCTGTCTGCATTCACCATGTTAACAGTGCATAATATCAAAAGAGCAATAGCAGTAATGCTGTTTGTTATTTCTGATAATATATTATTTTTGAATATTGGAAGGATTTCTTGTTATACAGTTGACCCCCCTATAANAGATGGCGACGCCCATGCTATCAATAACATTGTGATGGAAGAATCTATAATTCTAAAATGAGCTTTTAGAGGCAAAAGAAGGGTCCCAATTGTAAAATTTAACCATAAAATGGATTATTTGTTGAAAGAGCATTCAAAGTAGCCACGAAAACAGTTAGAATGCTTGGTGTGGAGTTACGCAGAGGTATAAAAGAACGCACCCTTTATTAGATTTCATGTTGTACGAGGGTTTTACTCAATTTTCAAACCGTGTTAGAGTGAATCCGTACTATAGAAGTGTCATGTTATATGGGGGTTACCTATACTTTATTTTTAATATAACATAGTAAATTAATGAAATGTCTATAAATAAACAAGATAATTCTTCATACATGCAAAAATTATACATATAATTTTTGCATGTATTCAGAAACCACACACAGAAAATTTGATTTTGTCATTAATTTTTGCAAGATTTTAAACAATTTATACTTTTATTAGTTAAAACTGCTAGAATATAAATATCTCTTTAAAAGAAAAAACATTTTTAAAATGTGTATGATCTCCTCATTGAAAAATGATTGATTCATTGTTGGCATTCATATTGTTTTTATTTGTTAAGATATAGCACAATAAAAATGCTTTAATGTAATTTTTAGAGAAATTATATTGTTAATATTAAAATACTTTAATTATAATTAAATAATATCATCATGCTGATGGAATAAAGTGAAAACTATAAATTTTGCAATGTGTCTTTTACTTTAAATTTGGAGTTTATGCATTAATATTCAAGAAAAGAAACAAAGAAGGGAGTTAAATGATATGAAATTAATACTGTTGCATTCAATATGTAATATTGAAAGCGATAGTTTTAAATAACAGTTTTAAATTATTACAATAATAATAATTTAAATATAATAGAATAAAATAGAATAATATTTCTACAGAAACTAAAACATTTGTTATATTTTTATTAGAACTGATGTTCCTTGAAACTAGTGCACTTACTGGGGAAAATGTTGAAGAAGCTTTCTTGAAATGTGCAAAATCTATTTTAGCTAAAATTGAAACAGGTATAAATTTTTTTTAATTAGCATTTATTTTTATATATGTGTATTACATTTTAAAATACTTTTTATAATATCAAAGTTTTGGTATCCAAGGGCAATGGGACACNGATTCTAGACTAATTCAACTCAACATTTCCAAAATACGAATAACTTTTTGGGAATAATCCATATAAACTATGCTATAAACAAAAAATTGTAGGATTACTTACCGAGTGTGCACCGTTTGACTATGCCATTGCTTAAGCTTGTTTTCGTCGTGGAGCTTGTCATCGAATGGCACTCGCGTGCTTCCTGATAAATTATTTTTTTTTGCAAAAAATTCGCTGAACTTTAGAAACATCATTAATATAAATATAATTTCTATGGCCATTAAATAATAAATGGTTTTTAGTTGGTCCGCTGCTCGTTTAAACTCAATGGTTTGTGCAATCCTGTCGCGACACAAGTCGGCAATGACGTTTTACCGAATTATAGGAGTTTTTTTAGCATGTTTGTACGAATACTGTCGCAATTTTTTTGCCATGATATAGGAATCCAAACTATAGGAACCCATGTTATATTGGGGTCGACTGTATATACTTTTTAAAACAGAGCTAGTAACACAAATCTTATTAAATTTGGATAACAAAATTGAATTTCATGTCTATATTTCAATATGTAAACAATAACAATCTGATTAAACATATTGAAATAAAATGATTTGAATAGAAGCTACTGTTTAACAATTACAGTTAATGAAATTTATTTTGTTAATTTGCTTTTCCTGTAATTATTCAAATATACTATTTAAGAACGCATATGATATATTACACTTCAGTCCAAATATACAGGACCTTCCAAAATGAATGTTACCATTTTAAATTGCTGTAATTATGTTAATTATTGTTTGACAGATATGTGACATACACAATCAATAGAATAACTGCAAGTTTCATCTTCCATCTTTGTTCACATGTTTATCTACTGCCTGTAAGAAGTGCCGCAAACAAAAATGGCAGCTTTGCAACAGAGAAAGCATTTTATGTTCTGCAGTTTACAAACTTGAAATCACTCATCATTGAGCAAGATGTGTAATATGTAGGAGCTGCAGAATACAGCTGTGGAGCACCAAGAGCTGTAGAGTAGTGGCTGCCATGGAAGAAGTGACAACAGATATGCCATAGCAAGCTTAGCAATAATCTGAGTATCAATCATATGCACACCATGCAGCACAACAATGCATGCATTGAGAAATTGCAATGGACAAATGTAAAACTTAGATGGTTTTCCACTGTTTTAATGTACATTACAACATTCTTGGATAATAATTAATATAATTACAGTCGACCCCCCCTATAAGATATAGATACGTTCCAATTTATTAGGAATCCGATTTCTTACAAGTCGTTCCAATCACAGCCCGACACGTGTCAAGTTTACGGACTACGGCTGATTGAAAGGTTTTCTTCCATAAAATTAATCGATTCTACACTAATCCGACTCAACATTTCCAAAATACGTATATTTTTTCATAGTTTTATAGGAATCGTAATTATAGGGGGGTCGACTGTACAATAATTTAAAATAGTAGAATTCTTTTTGTAAGACCCTTTATGTAAATAAAGTGCTAATTTTATTACAATATAAAGCTATTAGATGTAGACAGAATATCAGTTTAAAAATAGTTGGAAACTAGTTTCAACAGACATAATATTGCAGGAACAATGAAAAAAATTAATATTTGCTGGAGTATATTACAGTTGACATAACTGTTTCTGATTCCTGAAACTAAGAAATATGGATTTATTGTAATGAATAGTATAAAATGTTTCAGAATTAGTTATATATAGTTATATTTTATTATTAGAATATCAGTTTAAAAATAGTTGGAAACTAGTTTCAACAGACATAATATTGCAGGAACAATGAAAAAAGTTAATATTTGCTGGAGCATATTACAGTTGACATAACTGTTTCTGATTCATGAAACTAAGAAATATGGATTTATTGTAATGAATAGTATAAAATGTTTCAGAATTAGTTATATATAGTTATATTTTATTATTAATATTAATTTCTGTGATATTAAACAAATAAACATTTATAATTAGTAAAATTTCAACACAGAAAAGATTAAATATTACCCTGTGTTAATTAATAAATGTGAACTGTGATTGAACTGATTTTATTTTTAGTCGAGAAACTTATAATGCATTATCAAATTGGCTGACTGACGCTCGCACTTTAGCGAGCCCAAATATTGTGATCCTCTTGGTTGGGAATAAGAAAGATTTAGAAGATGAAAGAGAAGTTACATTTTTAGAAGCGAGCAGATTTGCCCAAGAAAATGGTAAGTAACTTTTATAAAAAATATTCACTTTATGTATAAATTATTAACATTTTTGAAGAAGGATAAAAGAACCAAAATTAAATTTGAATCATGATTTTTTGTGAATTTTGGTCAGTAAAGCCATGTACATATAAATAAACAATTCACACAAGTGTGTAATAGTGCTGGAGTTTTGGTGTTGTGTTTATTTGAACTTTATCCAGTTGTAGAGCTGTTCATTTAAATATACATGGCTTTACCAGCTGAACTTTCATTTAAAAAATTCTAAAACAAAAGTTTATAAAATTAAGACTAAGAAAATATCTATCTTTACAGGTAACCCTCGTAACACGTGAGTTACATTTTAAAAAGTTGTCGTGTTATACGAAACAAAGAACTAGTGTGAAAAGGGGGAGTTAGGTTCCAAAAATTTAAAAACATGCTGTTAAATCCTTATTTAAATCAGATTTATTATTCATTTTTTTCATAGGTAAAATACTTATTTATTATTTAAGTAAATATTTTACCAGAGGATTATTCATCCTATATGATGATCTCAGCATGAGCATCATCAACTAGTAACAGTTTTTGGGTGTGTTCATTAATAGTGGTCACTCTGCAATGGGAGTGCACTGCTGTTTGTAGGTGTTTAGGAACAACGGTGAAAGAAAGATGGCGACGCCCATGCTATCAATAACATTGTGATGGAAGAATCTATAATTCTAAAATGAGCTTTTAGAGGCAAAAGAAGGGTCCCAATTGTAAAATTTAACCATAAAATGGATTATTTGTTGAAAGAGCATTCAAAGTAGCCACGAAAACAGTTAGAATGCTTGGTGTGGAGTTACGCAGAGGTATAAAAGAACGCACCCTTTATTAGATTTCATGTTGTACGAGGGTTTTACTCAATTTTCAAACCGTGTTAGAGTGAATCCGTACTATAGAAGTGTCATGTTATATGGGGGTTACCTATACTTTATTTTTAATATAACATAGTAAATTAATGAAATGTCTATAAATAAACAAGATAATTCTTCATACATGCAAAAATTATACATATAATTTTTGCATGTATTCAGAAACCACACACAGAAAATTTGATTTTGTCATTAATTTTTGCAAGATTTTAAACAATTTATACTTTTATTAGTTAAAACTGCTAGAATATAAATATCTCTTTAAAAGAAAAAACATTTTTAAAATGTGTATGATCTCCTCATTGAAAAATGATTGATTCATTGTTGGCATTCATATTGTTTTTATTTGTTAAGATATAGCACAATAAAAATGCTTTAATGTAATTTTTAGAGAAATTATATTGTTAATATTAAAATACTTTAATTATAATTAAATAATATCATCATGCTGATGGAATAAAGTGAAAACTATAAATTTTGCAATGTGTCTTTTACTTTAAATTTGGAGTTTATGCATTAATATTCAAGAAAAGAAACAAAGAAGGGAGTTAAATGATATGAAATTAATACTGTTGCATTCAATATGTAATATTGAAAGCGATAGTTTTAAATAACAGTTTTAAATTATTACAATAATAATAATTTAAATATAATAGAATAAAATAGAATAATATTTCTACAGAAACTAAAACATTTGTTATATTTTTATTAGAACTGATGTTCCTTGAAACTAGTGCACTTACTGGGGAAAATGTTGAAGAAGCTTTCTTGAAATGTGCAAAATCTATTTTAGCTAAAATTGAAACAGGTATAAATTTTTTTTAATTAGCATTTATTTTTATATATGTGTATTACATTTTAAAATACTTTTTATAATATCAAAGTTTTGGTATCCAAGGGCAATGGGACACTTATTTTGCATATTCAAACTCTGATAAGCACCTAAGAAACTAACTAATATATTTGCTTGTAATATAACTTGAAATGTGTTATGTAAGCCTCCTGGTATCCTTGGATATCAAAACTTTATTACAGAAAGTAGTTAAAACTTGACTCCCTAGCCCAGACCTTCATAATTTATCATGAATAATACAGTTCAGGATGTTGTTCCCCATTCCTTGCCCATATTGATTAATTCTATGGAAATCAGGCTGATCAATAATAAACATTATTGTTGACTGTATAGCCTACAATATCCTGGTGTCTTGCATTAATCAGTCAAACAATAATTTATTGGCTTTTTTATTATTTATGGTTATTGAAGATGAAAATTTGCACATTACCTAAAAATGATGTTTCATTCATAAAATTACATTCAAAAAACCAATTTATAAATAAAATAGTATGTGAAAAAAATTAAATCAAATATTTTATTATAGATAGTTAAAAATCACATGTACATATTAATTTTAAAATATATTTGAAAGTTAAAATTTCATAACTTATTTTATAGGTGAATTGGATCCAGAATGCATCGGTTCCGGCATTCAGTATGGAGATTCTACGTTACGTCGACTGCACAGACAACAACAGAGGCACAGCGATTGCGCCTGCTGAATTACAAGACATAAAGTGTGTTGATCTTTTAATAATTCATTGTTGTAGTTGACAACCTATTATCAAGTTTGCTTTCTTCTTCGATAATCAATCGACTTATGTAGATAAGGTGAAGGATATATTTTAACTTTAAAAAAAAAGTTATTCCATATTATTAATGACTGTGTTGTGTTCTGATATATTTAATCAAATCAGCATTTAAATACAAATACATTTTTGATGGTTTTAAATTATAGAAATGAAAATATTAAAACAAACATATACATTTATTAAAAATTAGCGTAAATGATGATGTACATAGACTTTTAACTATTTTATTTTTTATTTAAAATTTTACACTTTTAATGAAATTGCACATTGTTTGAATTAACATAATTTTAAATTATTTTTGAATTAAAATAATAAAGTTGTTTCTACAGTTCTAATGTTGAAACATTGTGGACGGTAATTTCTTTAACAGATTAAAAATAATGTCAATAATGTTGATTATAATATTAAATATTATTGATTAATTTCATAGTTAATCTGCAACTGTATCAAATTTTGCACAAATAATGTTATATTTTTACTGTAATTTCTTAATAATGATATCTTTTTCTGCAGATCTGGCACAAGGAATGGCATTCAAATGATATAAACTGAGATACATATTTTTTTTATATTACAATTTAAATAAATAAATTTGTTATTAAACTATTCTTCATATTTATTAATAAATATGAGGAATAATTTTTTTTCACTAATCTAAATGATACAGTTAATAAAATTTCCTGTTAACTTTAAAAGAATTTCAAAATTAAATTTTAAAACTTTGGATAGGAAAATTATTGAAAAAAAATCCAAATCATTTAAATTGTTGAATTCATCCTGAAATTATTATAAAATTAAAGGATATAATGTGATAACTTTTATGAAACTAAATTGAAATCTTTAAATTCATCAGGTAAATAATTATTTTAAGATTATTTATTATACAAATAAAATTTTAATCATTTATTTTTACCTACCTTCCTATATGATCACTTTATAAAATGTTTCTTCTCAATAGTATTTTTATATTATAAATATATTTAAGTAATAATTTGTGAATGAAAGTTTAATAACACCTTAAAAACACACACATTTTAGATTTATAGAACAAGCATTTAAATTGATTTTTTTAATAAAATAAAACAAAATCTGTGCTTAATACACAACTCCATAAATAAAGTGAAACAAGAAATAATGTTTTAATACAGAATAAACTTTACAAGTTTCTATTTACTAGAAACGTTAAATAATTGAGCACTTTCACTAGGAGCCATCTACCATGATTACTAAGGTTAAGCAAGCAGAAACTTTTTTAATGCTTTTACTCACTTTTCTCTAATAATGGTGCTCCATTTAATATTCCTGAAAATGAGTTTCAGTTTTTGTTTGAGGTTTTTGTGAAACTTTTTCTTCTTATTAAGACTTCAACCTACTGTAATAGGGGAACCAAAATTGTCATCATGTGGTCAAAAAACCCTGGGAATTTTTCGGGGATGGTCTGTTCTGGATACATCGAGTCCCATCTTTTGTGCTAAACTTGATTTGGGTTTGGCCGCTCCACTGTGGACCTGACCAAATCACACTGGGCTTGGGAAAGAGTCCAAAACTGAATGGAAAAGAGAAAAAAAAATATACTTTTTCTCCATTAAAACATTATTTCAAATTGGATTGTTTTAAGTCATTTGTCTGTCACTCTTTTACCACATCTGAATCTTTTTATAGTATCATTACACAACCAAATATAAATTACTTTCAGGGTATACAAATTATAATTTCTCAATTACTACATATAACATTCAACACAATATGGGACCCAATGTAGAAATCGTGATTTATTTTTCTGTAATTTGCAGTGATTTTTGAGATATCAATGTATAAATAGAGCAGAAAAATCTCAATAAGTAGATTGTATTACTTATCACATTTTAAATTTGTAGTATTTTGATTGTGATAATAATTATTATATGTGTGACAATTGGAGAAAATTTTACATCACTTAATATTAAAAAAAAATATATTATCTGAAGTATATATATATATATGCAAGATTTTGCAAAAATCAACACCTATAAACATGCAGCATGTAAACAGTTGTCCAAATAGAACATTAATTTGTAATTATAAGCCAAAATTTTTCACAGCTTCGTTGTTCTGTATTTAATAGTTTAAAACTGGTTTTTTGGTATATATATGCACATTGCACACTATATTTTAGATGCTGCATATGTATTACTTTAAATTAATCAGAGATTTTTAAAATTGAACTTCAAATATTTGTTATCTGCTTTTAAATACATTAAGTGATGCAAAGTCTATGATGTTAAGTGCAAAGTTTAATTAAAGATATATATATATATATATATATTCTAGATTCAAAATGCCTTAAACTATTAGCAATAATAACTGAAGAAATTATAAAATTTTAATTCATTTCTTGAATAGTAATACAATGTATTCAAATCTGTAAATTATTCTTTGAGTTACTTTATAACCTGGTATTATAATTGAATTTCTCAGTTCTTTCATTAAGTGAATTGGATATGAACTGCTGATTAATAAGGTTGGANCATATTACATTTTAAAATACTTTTTATAATATCAAAGTTTTGGTATCCAAGGGCAATGGGACACTTATTTTGCATATTCAAACTCTGATAAGCACCTAAGAAACTAACTAATATATTTGCTTGTAATATAACTTGCAATGTGTTATGTGAGCCTCCTAGTATCCTTGGATATCAAAACTTTGGTATTACAAAAAGTAGTTAAAACTTGACTCCCTAGCCCAGACCTTCATAATTTATCATGAATAATACAGTTCAGGATGTTGTTCCCCATTCCTTGCCCATATTGATTAATTCTATGGAAATCAGGCTGATCAATAATAAACATTATTGTTGACTGTATAGCCTACAATATCCTGGTGTCTTGCATTAATCAGTCAAACAATAATTTATTGGCTTTTTTATTATTTATGGTTATTGAAGATGAAAATTTGCACATTACCTAAAAATGATGTTTCATTCATAAAATTACATTCAAAAAACCAATTTATAAATAAAATAGTATGTGAAAAAAATTAAATCAAATATTTTATTATAGATAGTTAAAAATCACATGTACATATTAATTTTAAAATATATTTGAAAGTTAAAATTTCATAACTTATTTTATAGGTGAATTGGATCCAGAATGCATCGGTTCCGGCATTCAGTATGGAGATTCTACGTTACGTCGACTGCACAGACAACAACAGAGGCACAGCGATTGCGCCTGCTGAATTACAAGACATAAAGTGTGTTGATCTTTTAATAATTCATTGTTGTAGTTGACAACCTATTATCAAGTTTGCTTTCTTCTTCGATAATCAATCGACTTATGTAGATAAGGTGAAGGATATATTTTAACTTTAAAAAAAAAGTTATTCCATATTATTAATGACTGTGTTGTGTTCTGATATATTTAATCAAATCAGCATTTAAATACAAATACATTTTTGATGGTTTTAAATTATAGAAATGAAAATATTAAAACAAACATATACATTTATTAAAAATTAGCGTAAATGATGATGTACATAGACTTTTAACTATTTTATTTTTTATTTAAAATTTTACACTTTTAATGAAATTGCACATTGTTTGAATTAACATAATTTTAAATTATTTTTGAATTAAAATAATAAAGTTGTTTCTACAGTTCTAATGTTGAAACATTGTGGACGGTAATTTCTTTAACAGATTAAAAATAATGTCAATAATGTTGATTATAATATTAAATATTATTGATTAATTTCATAGTTAATCTGCAACTGTATCAAATTTTGCACAAATAATGTTATATTTTTACTGTAATTTCTTAATAATGATATCTTTTTCTGCAGATCTGGCACAAGGAATGGCATTCAAATGATATAAACTGAGATACATATTTTTTTTATATTACAATTTAAATAAATAAATTTGTTATTAAACTATTCTTCATATTTATTAATAAATATGAGGAATAATTTTTTTTCACTAATCTAAATGATACAGTTAATAAAATTTCCTGTTAACTTTAAAAGAATTTCAAAATTAAATTTTAAAACTTTGGATAGGAAAATTATTGAAAAAAAATCCAAATCATTTAAATTGTTGAATTCATCCTGAAATTATTATAAAATTAAAGGATATAATGTGATAACTTTTATGAAACTAAATTGAAATCTTTAAATTCATCAGGTAAATAATTATTTTAAGATTATTTATTATACAAATAAAATTTTAATCATTTATTTTTACCTACCTTCCTATATGATCACTTTATAAAATGTTTCTTCTCAATAGTATTTTTATATTATAAATATATTTAAGTAATAATTTGTGAATGAAAGTTTAATAACACCTTAAAAACACACACATTTTAGATTTATAGAACAAGCATTTAAATTGATTTTTTTAATAAAATAAAACAAAATCTGTGCTTAATACACAACTCCATAAATAAAGTGAAACAAGAAATAATGTTTTAATACAGAATAAACTTTACAAGTTTCTATTTACTAGAAACGTTAAATAATTGAGCACTTTCACTAGGAGCCATCTACCATGATTACTAAGGTTAAGCAAGCAGAAACTTTTTTAATGCTTTTACTCACTTTTCTCTAATAATGGTGCTCCATTTAATATTCCTGAAAATGAGTTTCAGTTTTTGTTTGAGGTTTTTGTGAAACTTTTTCTTCTTATTAAGACTTCAACCTACTGTAATAGGGGAACCAAAATTGTCATCATGTGGTCAAAAAACCCTGGGAATTTTTCGGGGATGGTCTGTTCTGGATACATCGAGTCCCATCTTTTGTGCTAAACTTGATTTGGGTTTGGCCGCTCCACTGTGGACCTGACCAAATCACACTGGGCTTGGGAAAGAGTCCAAAACTGAATGGAAAAGAGAAAAAAAAATATACTTTTTCTCCATTAAAACATTATTTCAAATTGGATTGTTTTAAGTCATTTGTCTGTCACTCTTTTACCACATCTGAATCTTTTTATAGTATCATTACACAACCAAATATAAATTACTTTCAGGGTATACAAATTATAATTTCTCAATTACTACATATAACATTCAACACAATATGGGACCCAATGTAGAAATTGTGATTTATTTTTCTGTAATTTGCAGTGATTTTTGAGATATCAATGTATAAATAGAGCAGAAAAATCTCAATAAGTAGATTGTATTACTTATCACATTTTAAATTTGTAGTATTTTGATTGTGATAATAATTATTATATGTGTGACAATTGGAGAAAATTTTACATCACTTAATATTAAAAAAAAATATATTATCTGAAGTATATATATATATGCAAGATTTTGCAAAAATCAACACCTATAAACATGCAGCATGTAAACAGTTGTCCAAATAGGTCATAAT